TGCAAAAAAAAAGTGTCAGAAATAATCAGACTAACAATCAGCATTTTGCTGCGGTTTTTTTTATCTAGCTTGAAATGTTTCATAATGCAACCAGATGACACGCTCAGACAGCTCAAGAGATGGAAATTATTCAAGATGATGGGGAAGGGGGTCATCACTAAGTTTTATTGGAAATGTCCTCCGTTACTTCAAATGGAAAATAGTTGCAATCCAGTATTAAATTTTAAATGCAAATGCATTCAGCTGACTTAAATTGGTAGAAAGAAATAGTGGAGGGAAATGGGGACTTGCACAAAGTTGGGGTGAATATTTCCTGGGAATATTAAAAATAAAATTTTGAAATTTGAAAATGTTTGGCCAATTCTGTATGTACCTTACTTAGCGAGGCAGCCAATCCGTTTCTTGTAACCAGCATGAGCTCTGTCCTTATACGACATTTTCTAGTGCTTGGTCCAACTTGGTTCTCCAAGTCCATCCCAGGATGCTGCTAACTATGTTATTTCAATGCTAGACTTAATGCAGTTTCAACATGACAAACTCCACTCCGGCAACTGCAGATATATCCCTTTCTTTGCATTTGGGCGCTCATCAATAACCAGTCACATTTAGCTACACCACGTGCAAATACGGCTTGAGAAGACACCCACAGGGTACATGTCTAATAGCTGGCACTGCATTTTCCCCCTGAGTATATTTTCCCAACAACAGTGACATACCTTGTGCCATCTTAAATCGCACTTCTGGTGAGAGATCATCAAAAAAACTATCTCTGAGCAAGGACTGGATAGAAATGGGTGTAGGACAGGTCACAAGAAACTGGATTGGACCCTCAGATTAGCTGGAAAATATGTTTTTCTCATTGTTTAACCTGTGGTGTTCAGAGTGATGCTCACAGGGAAATTCCTCGTTGCTGGACACAGTGTACTACACCTCTCTGCTCTGCTTTAGAGGATGCACCTTGCAGCAGGGGGCAGCCCAAAGCCATTTAATGATTGTAATCGGCTGGTAAATGGCAGGTTTCAGTCTCCAGCTGAGGAAAAGCCATATGATGGCTATCAGACTGCCCCAGAAAGAGAGGAACATACAGAAAGGACTAAAGAGGTTTAGGTTACCCAGATGCTTGCAAAAGGTGATGCTAAAAATGCTAAGATCACAATGGAGAGGAGACGTTTGCACAGGACTGCTCAGAGATGTAACTGCATGGCTCTCTGGCTATCCATACACAAATCTACGGACACTCAAGCAATGCCCCCCCGGCAGAGACTGAGCATCTAGTTTAGTTTATGTCTCTCGCTGTCTCTGTTTTTGTATCTAAATCTAGCTGAGGTCTGTCCTTCCTGTTCCCACCCTCACAAGATGCTCTGTGCAAATACACCAGGCAGGGAGCTAAAGGCTGAGGGGTGAAGCTCTTTGGGGCATTGCAATCGGTTTTCTCATCGCAAACAGGCAAGGACTGGGAATGGTCTGTGTGTTGTGCTGATTTGGGCTGGACTTGTGGCTTAAATCAGATGTCGTGGTCAGGTCACTGCTGTGAAGGCACAGACAAGCTGATGTAATGCTCCGCACTCACCTCCACTTGATTAGACAGCAGGTTTTTTGCCTACCTACTTAAACCATGTATTTTTTAATCAACCTTGTGGTTTTCAGTTGACCCGGCTGACGTGCTCATATCTTCCGGTGGTGGCATCACAGGAGGTAGAAATGCTGCGCCAGGCTGGTAAGACCTGGGAACTATGACCTGAGCCCACTTTTGAATTAGCAACTGGACTTGCGGAAGTCATTCCCTGCTATTCAGATTAGCCCTGGGGGGTTTCCACTTGTTCTACACAAAGGCAACTGGAAATACGATATAGCTGGTAGGGAGAAGGCCAAAGCTGGGAGCTTGGCTTTGGGGTAGGTTGGTGGGTCCAGTTACTTGCAGGTGACTACTGTGGGCAGAGGCTGGCAGAGGCTTTAAGACCTGTGTCTAGCTCTTGTGTGCACATACAGATAGGAATAAGCACAGAGAGATGCCAGGGGCTCATGGGAGTGATGGGGAAGGGGTCACATTCTCATTTCCATTCTTTTTTGTATTGCCAAAGTGACTACATGGATGTCAATGGGGCACCTTCAGACTGCCAGCCGTATAAGCAGAGGAGAGTCTGGCTTGGCTACGAACACGCTGCCCTTTGTCTGCACCCCTGCTAGGAGAGCTCCCTGTTTCTGGTAGTGCAGCTTAGATAAAGCTGTGCTAAGCATGGATGGAAGCAAAAGGGCACAGTGGGCAGAGTGGCAGAGGCAAATTCTTCAGTGCCAGCAAGACACAGAAAATGAGAGCAGTTTAAATAACACTGCCCAGTCGTCTGAGTTGGTGGAATTACCCAAGCTGAATCCTGTGGGTTGTTTTTTCCCCCCTGCCATGCAAGCCCTACAGAAATGGTATTTCTCTACCAGCCCACAGTCCTGGAAGGAGCTTGAAACACTGACTCCAGAGCCACCAGTCCAGGACCCTCCCCACCCTGTCGTTGAGCTGCTTTGCTGCACAATGGCTGTCTAGCAAACAGCACTAATAATGAAGGCAACAGGAGTGAATGAAGGCCATGCTACAGTATGCCAGCCTGTTGGCTTGAATGGACGATGCAGGGATGTCTCTTTTCTGCATGGGCAGAGAAAGTGCAGCAGCCCAAGCAAACTGACAAGGACATACTAAAGGCAAGCATTACCAGACCAAGGACCCGCTGGCAAACTCTTTGGAGCTATGGACAGGCAGTAAGAGAGCACCCATGTGAGGGAAGGCATAGGAGCAGATACACCATGCACAGCCCTACACTAACTCGAATCTGGTGTATGATTACCCCAGGAAAACTCTGCTGTGAAACTACAGCAGTGTAAGTGCTGTGGATTTATTGCTATGCTGAGAGATATTCCCTGCCCCTCTGCCATCTAGTCAAATAGAGCCCACTGACCTGGGATAAGTCGTGCCTTGGCCCCTGCAGACACCAGTGGCTGTGTGAGCGGCGGTTAGTCAAACCCA